TTCTTCATATTTTATTTCTGGAGTATCATTGAGCTGTTCAGGTTTGTGGGTTTGTTTTTTTTTTTTTCTTCTAGCAGGTATGTCTAGAACAATGTGATTGTTCCCAAGAACCCTACAGAAAATTCTGATCTTTGTACTGTTTGGAAGAGTGGCACTAGCGCATTGGCCCCAGAGAGTAAAATCTCCGTTAGTCACAGTCTGTCACAGCCTTCTGAGGTTGCTCCATCTGCCAAAAGCTGGGACAGAGCTGGAGTATGAAAATAGTACCGCTCCGAACTTAAGGAAAGCTGTTGCTTCTTTTCCTTGAGGATTCTGTTGCTTTGAAATTCCGTTGTTAAGTGGAAACGCTCCATTTCTTTTACTCTGCTCTGTTTCTCTTTCAAAAGAAGTATTTGGAAAGGTTTATTAGGCAAGCCAGACAGGTCATCCGTGTGGTCAGGCTAATAGCATTAATTCTGTAAACTGACAAATAAGGGGGTGCCCATCGTGATCCACAGAAGGATTTTTCTTTAATATTCTTGTGTCATTAGGGAATTATGTTGCCTATATGGCACAGAGATGCAAGACTAACTCTTGCAGCACCTTCCATTTCAAACAGTGTCTGTTTCTTCTCACACTGAATTGGTTTTAGGTATCCATATTATATGCTTTCATGCATCGGTATCGAATGGAAACCACTAACATGGCTCCGTTACACTGCCTGGATCCCCCTCTACCCCTTAGGAGGCTTGGCAGAAGGTATGTCCAAAAAAAAGACAGTTTAAGAAATAATGAATTCAAGGCTGGGCAAAGAACTTGGTTTTTTGGCTGCCAGATTTAAAAATAATAGAACAGGATATAAATAGACGTTTGCTTTGAGCTGAACCAAATGTAACCAGTTTTGTCTTTCTTACCAAATCAAGTATTTTTTTCAACTTGATGTGAAAAGCAGTCTTTTGGGTACTGGAGAGGAAAGGCCAGAAAAGGTTAAATGAGCCAATGGATCGGGAGCATGCCGCAGTCCATGTGAGTGGCAGGAGAAGACCACACTTACTCCTCCCTGCTGATCCAAAGGGAGTGTATTTGCTTTTGTCTGCTAGACCCGACTCGGGCAGCTTAGCTCGGGTTCACACCAGCTCACACATCTTCACATCATCTCGTAAATCATTGCACAGGACAGGCAGGGGCCCATCCTTGCTCTGAAAGTGCCACAGCTTGTTCTTGCCTGTTTCTACGAGCCAGGAGTAAGCTCAGGCATTGCCCAGTTCCAAGCCCGGGGATGACTGTGCCCGTTCGGTTGCCACGGGTATTTCTGTGTGGTAAATCCTGCTGGCAGGGGCCCCGCAGGCTACAGCTGCGGGTGAGAACAGTTCTCACCAGGCAAGTTCACTGTGCTTAGGCTTTTTCATAGCTGAATTGTTCTACTGCCTCAGCTAGCTGCTTTCTGTTAAAAAAAACCAGCTTTAAAATCAGTATAATGAATGAGAACTAGTGAATAAGGAGGGAATGTTCTGGAAAAGTTGGTGTGGGCTGGGCAATTTTTGTATTTTATCTGTGTTTGATAACGATGGTGGCCTTCTGCTTTCAGCTGTCTGTATCATTCAGTCCATTCCAATCTTCAGTGAAACAGGGAAATTTAGTCTCGGATTGCCAAACCCACTGAACGTCACAATCCAGTTCTCATTTTTGCTTCAAATATACCTTATAGTCTTGGTTTTAGGTAAGATATTTAATTGTATTTCTTTCTTGAAATAAAAAGGCCAGTTTCCTCTGAACAAGTGTATGTTTTTCAAAGAAAATTTAATTTCTGCATCTTGGGGATCATGGCAACACAAAACTGCTTGAGGCCGAGCATTGTTCTTGTTGCTTTTTTCTCTAAATTTGGCAGGGGTGGAGGGGAACACACCTACAATTAGCACTGGTTTGCCCCCAAAGAAGGAGACCTTGCTAACAAGTTGGCAGCATCATCTGCTGATCACTGTGATTAAAAGAATAACCTTTACATGTATTTATAACCTTAGTATCTATTTAGTTTCACCTTTTACATGGTATTTGAGCAATGTTAACTAAGCTGCCTTCTTATCATTAATGTAACATGTAGTCATATTTTGCTGGGAAAAAATGTAGAAGTCTCTTTAAACTGTGGTATATTTAAAGAAGATAACTGTTTTTTTCCTTGGTGTTACATTTTTAAGCATAAGTTAACTTCATAGTGTGAACAGCTGGTATATCTGGGTGTCCCCAGCTCAGCAGTATCTAACCTAGAATTTTAAACTGACCTTTCACTAGGTTTCTCCCTTTCACAGACATTGCTTAAAGACAATCTTTAATTGAGCTTCCCTCTGACATACCTGTTTGATCCTTCCCCAGCTCTGCACAGCCCACGTTGCAACGTTTTACAAACGACAAACCCACCTTCTGAGCAGCTCCGTACCAACTCCTGCCCCACCCAGCAAGAAAAAAAAATCTTGCGTTATCTTTCAGCGCTATACGCACCCTTAAACCATTGTGCTTTTTGTGTGGTGGTTTGTTTGCTCAGGTTTTCTTGGTGATTTAGTTTGGTTTTTGTTTGTTTTAATGTGCTACAGCCATGTAGCGTCAAAAAGATGCAATAATGTCCTACCTAAACACTTGGTTCTTTTTCAGGGGTATTCTTAAACTTCCGTCATCTCTACAAGCAAAGGAAGCAGCACCTCGGACCAAAGAAGAGAAAGATGAAGTGAAGGAGGACTGCAATGCTTTCTTACCTAACTTATCTCAATGACAAGATAAGCCTGTAATTCTTACGGTTTTACCCACTGTAATGTAAAGAATTTTGTAAAATTAAATGATCGCGCTAGATTTCATGATTTCATAGTGACTTCAGGTAACATTCCCATACGCTGTGTTTCATACCTTTCCAATCACATCTGCATGGCATTTACCATTGCGCAGTAACGTCGAAACTTGTATCCTGGCAACTACCACCTTAGAAAGAAATCCTGTTATCTGCATATAATATGCTTATAAGCAGTGGAGCAGAACTAAATAGAAACAGTGTTTCTCTTTTAATTGGATATTTGGTCTTTCGATATTGCATGCAGATAGGGCTTCTGCTGTCAGGATATGCTGTCAGCTGGCCCGTGCTGTCCCGAGGGTGCATCTTGATGGCAGGAGGAGCACAGCCTGAGACCGCTGCCAACAGTGCTGGGGTGTTAATTAACCGTTTGGGTAAATTTTGCTCAGCATCTATCCCCTCCAACTCTTTCTTCCACAGCATACTGATGCTGCAGCATTAAAACTGGAAGTAGAGAATCACAGAATGGCCTAAGCTGGAAGGGACCTTAGAGATCATTTTAATCCAGCCTCCCTGTAGCCAGAGACGCCACCTCTCGACTAGATCAGGCAACACATGGGGACTGAACAGGAATCAAACCCACGACCTTGGCGTTGTTAGCGCCACGCTCAACTGACTGAGCTAACCGGCCCCTAATAATGCCAATTTAAATGCAACCGACTCAGTCTGTTTCTAGTTTAGTCTTAACAGAAGTGCTGTGTGGATCCCAGCATCCCTGTAGCAATGCAGCCTTACACTGTTATTAGGGAAAAGGAGCTGCTACCCTATGACATGGTCAGAAACACCTTCCCTGATTGATAATGTAAGCACTGAAACAAAAAAAGGGAGGAAAAAAAAAGAGCCGGCTTTCAGCTTTCCCCTTGCATGTGAACAAACCGCAGCAGAATGGCAGCCCACTCGTGCACAGGGAAAACGTGGAACTGCCACAGGAGGCGTTCCTGTTTGCTCCTGTATTTGTAACCTTCGGAAAGGCAGGGAAGGTTGCTTCTCTACTTCGGGGCAGCTGCTGGGAAGCTGGTGTATGTGCTTTGTTGGCTGGACCCTAGCACGATGGAGTAGTGGGTCGATAAACCGTGTATTATTTAGATAGCATCTATCAAATCTAAGTAAGGGAGAGCCCACAGAGGGTTTGAAGGAATCCTTTTCTCTGTGCTTGCTTTAAACAACAAAAACATAACAAAATACAATGAAGCTCGCACCATGTTCCAGGTCATCTACTCTTTCACCTGGAAACCTTTGAGCTGACTTAATTTCAACATGCCCTTCTTCACATCTAGGCCTCCTGTAGCTAATTCCAGATCCCTCTGCCCTTCTTAATCCAGTTTAGAAAACAGAGAAATTTGCTTTAAACCATGCTGTGGTTGGGAACAGGTTTCTTCACAACAACTGCCGCTGCCCCTGGGGCAATGCCAAGCAATGCCAGCAATCCAGAACTGGCACTCAAGCTGAGATTAGCTTGGTGCCGTGCTGTTACTTATCTTTTTCTGCTGTAAAACAATATGAATCCCTCTTTCTATATTAAAGGTAACGAACAACCTACTGTTTGTGCTGTGGACCCAGTGACCGTTACTGTAAAGGAAATAGTGTGATAAGGAAATTTTAACAAAGACCTGTTACAAGCTCCACGCTGTATTTCACAAACTGTGTTCTGTCAACAAGAAGTACGATGCAACTTCTCTAGGGATACTTGAGACTCCCACTCAAAGGAGAGCACAGCTTACTTTACTCAGGAGAGTTAAGCCTTATTTACACGCTTAATATTTCACGCAGGGTACACTGTACCTACGTTTGAAGTATGTGAAAGGATTGAATTAGCTGAGCAATGGAACAGCAAGGATGACTTTCATACTTTAATTTCTCCACTGGGCATTTAAACTTCTGTTATGAAATCCATATGTATTCATATATTGTACTTCTCGGTGAAATTGTGGTACCTAGTGCAAAGCTGTTCTGGATCTTACACTACTGAATTTTAGTCCTTCGAAAAGAATGTGTTTCTATTTAATAAAGATTTACAACCAAATTTTGCTTTAGTCCAGTTGTTTGAACTTTCCCTGAATGCGAGAAGGTGGATAATTTACTATCTGCCTCTTGTGATAAACAGCTGGGAGCCTTCAGGTCAATGTTTTAGGCCACACTGCCTAGCTGCTATGAAAATGGAATAAATCCAACTTAAATTCTCATGAAGAATTACTCTTTATTAATATTACACAAATAAAAAAAAAACTTGTCTCACAAGATCAAGTTACTTTCATGAGCATAGGCACTGCAATGCAAGTGGTAACTCTCATCAGGGCAGTGCAGACTGGTTTCAAACTGGGCATAAATGAGTGACGACGCCCTGAAATTCACCGTGTATCTGATCTCACACAGTGATTCTCACACGTGTTCTTTGGACTAACCAACTTGCTGCATAGAGTAGCTGCCTTTTAGGATACTTTCACCAGTGAGTTCAGTTATGTAGTAACTGCATTTTGGGGAAACCAAGAGGCCGTCTGTTGCCTACGATGGCATTTTCTCTCTCTCCTCACATGTACTGAGTAGCTTCCACCCATTGTCCAGCACAGGAACTGACTTTCAGACACTTCCCACAGTTTCGACGTGTGACTAAAGCCACCACCAACTAGCTACATTTATTTAGAGAGCACTGAGGCAGGTAAGGGACCCTGTTTTGAGAAGTTCCTCCAAACAGTAAGTAAACACCTTAGAAAGTAAACAGCAGAAGAAAATTTGAACCACTTGAGTCCTAACCTTTATAAACGTTCCCAAAACAGAGACTTCACATTCTTTCAGTGCTGCTACTGGAAAAGTCTGTCTGCAGTGGAGCAATGTTATGGTCATAGGCAGCATATTCTGATGCTCCAGTACTTGCCACTTTGAGCTGCTGAGCAGCGTGGGTGAGCTGGAACGCTGCGTCGGGATGAGCTGTGTCAGGCAGGAGGGTGCACTCCCGCTCCAGCATGTCCGCCACGCCTTTCAGGAGGTCCAAAAAGCCAAAGGCCAGAGCTGCTTTTCGTAAACGATTGAGTTCCTGCAAACGAAAAAAAACCTTTTTAAAGCTACTGTAAGCCCTTAAATAAAACATGGTTTTCTTACTTTTTTTTTTAAAGGCAAGCTTAGAGGGAAATAACCTGAGTGGTGAGTACAGCTGCTGGCAACTGCCCAGCTGCTCGTGAGATAAAGAATGCTTCGGGGCTGAAAATGATAGTGGCACAAGCTCAACAGTTGTTTTTCCCTTGATCCTTTCCTATAAATCTCCATTTCTCCCTTTTTCCTTCTGTGCACTCAGCTATTGTACCTGCCTGTTGTGTCTGTGCCTCAGCTGGGGGTGGGCTCCGGTGAAGGCTTCACTCACTGCTGCCTTGCACCACAGCGTCCCACAAAATCTCTCTAGACTTTTCTTCACTATAAATTGAAAAGTGCTTCTTGAGTCTGGGGGCTCATTCCTGAAGTCTCTGGGGGCTACAATAATAAACTGCTTCATCACTAAGCTTACAAGAGGAGCAACAATTACCTCCAGCTACAGTCTAGATTATGGATTATTACCATGTGGTCAAGTGTGCCCAAAATTTTGTATTTCTCTGCTTCAGCTGTAGAGAAAATGTGGGAGATGTTTTCAGACTCAGAGTGACATCTGTGTTCCTATTCATCTCTAATGCCTCAGTTTATTTCTGTCCGGACAACAGAATAAAATCTGCAGAGAAATTTGCCACAGGAGGAGCAGGGATCATGAGGGGCACCTGTACACGTGCCCCGTCTATGTCACCCTGCCACACAGTGTGGTGGCAGGGAATCCCGATCCCCTTGTCTCACTTTAAGTAGTCTGTAAAAAAACCTGAGGATGGCTCCTTCTTTACGGAACCATATATGGTTTTGCAGAGCCCACCCAGAACGTACCACAGACACAGAGAGCACGTGTCCCTGACAAATGCACCACCATCACTAGGGGTCAAACTTGGGCTGGCCTGTGAAGTTACTCACCTTATAGAAGGTCTGAGTTTTTTCAGGGAGTTTCCTTGCATTTCTCAAGATCTTCTGTACATCTGTCTGCAGAAAAAGAGAGAAAAAAAATAGAAATAATCTTGGCAACTGCTAGGGAAAAATCTTCAACTATTATTGATAAATTATCTTGACCATCAAGAAGACTGCAGCTCACATAAACATAAACGGCAATTATACCCAATCCAATAAACTAAGCCAGATGCTGCACTAGAGACACAGCACTCATTAAACAAGCCAGGATTTCTGATTGCATTTTAACCATGACATGGTAAAGAGGCAGTGTTTATAAAAACAACAGAAAAGCAATAAACCAATGACATCAAATAGACAAGACACACACACAGACTCCACTTTGCTGGTGATGTCCTGCCTAGGGACATGGTTTAGTGGTGACCTGGAAGTGCTGGGTTAATGGTTGGACACAGTGATCTTAAAGGTCTCTTCCAGCAAAAGAGATTCTGCGATCAGAGCAAAGCATCAAGTCCAAAACCTGTATCATTACCTGGAGGCCACTTGGTTTAATCCATACAGTAACATTCTGTGCGTAACTGCGCTTGTTCTTGGGTTGCAAGGGGAACGGACTCTTATTGTCATCCTCTCCGTAAGGATTTTCTTTCGCATCTTGGAGAAAAAAAAAGAAAAAACCCCACAGATTTAACAAAGTCATTCATGCAACGCTGCTATGTAAGAGTTATTCAAATGAGCATGACCGGTACCTGAAATGGGTCCAAGCTGTGCCATCTTCCCCAGCCATGGAAGGGGTTCAGGACCAGGTTCGAAGAGTGACATCATGAGGTTTGATTTCTTCTTGCTATCAGCTTGTGAATAGAGCATTCCATACCACTCTGGTCTAGTGAAAAGAGCAAATCTCAAAAGCTGAAAATCTTCCACCCCTTCTTTGCCTAGAATGTGTCCCCATCCCACTGTGTAGAGGCTCACTATCTGCAATTTATACTGGCAGAAACGTATCCACAATTACAAATCCACAGCTTTGTCTAGCAGTGCAGAGTTCTGTACAGAATACAGAGAGCAATAATTTATAAATAAAGTGTAAATGAGCAAAGTAAGAGCTTTTTCAGGCAGCCATCCAGCTCCGTACCCCAACTGGACGACAGCCACCATGCCTTCCACTTTCAGGCTGCCGTGTAATAAAACGCAGAAGTTGGGGATTTTCCCAGCAATCTGATTAGCTGAATTCTCATCTTCGGTGTCATCTGTGATCCCGGGTCCCACCTCATCACCTTCTGAGGAAGAATCAAAGCAAAGAGACAACATAAGAATAAATTCGAACACAGTAGTTCCATTTCCACGACACCACCCTGTATTTTCTGCCATGCAAGAGTTAATTAATACTTTTGTAGAGCAAACAGCTGCTGAACGAATTGTTTGGGCAAAGGGGCACTATAAAGTTATATAAATATTCCACTGCATTCACAAAACAGAGTTACTAAAAAACTGCAAATAAAATCTCTGCTTTGAAGGAAACTTGGTCCAAATGCGTAGCAACTAACGCCCAGGTACAACTAAGTGATCTGGTTATGATTAAGATCAGATTTCTCACAACAAATCATTCTGAGAACCAATTATACGCTGGCACTAACTATCCATTCTGCATCACAATTTTCACAGCCCATAACCATTTTTGCTTTAAGTTTAGCATGTTCTATTAATAACAACGCCATAAGGACACTGTTCCCTTTATTAAATTTCTAAAGAACACAGTATTCAAAAAAAAGAAAGAGCTTGTGTTCAAGGTTCTAATTTTAACATAACCACACAGACATGTCTTCAGAGACATCTGGCGTTTTGATAAAGTGTAAACCCCAAGCTCCTAGTCTGAACCACCACAGACATCACAAGGGTAGCTTAAGGCAGATCTTGCTAAAAGAAACAAAACTTGCTCACCTCTGTTAAGTGCAATGGGCAGTACCAAGTGTCTGGATAGGACAGGAGGGCTAGAAATGTCAGCTATGTCTACAAACCCAACAATTTCTAGATCTGTGGGGAGACAAGAGGTTCAAGTCAGATTTGGAAACAGCTGAAATGTATTCAGAGTCCATTTAACATGACCACTTCCTAAGTTTTTTGAGGCAGTGACTAGAAGCAGCACAACCGAGCCTCAACCTTGGCTGGAGTGTCTAGGTGTTAAGAAAATACAGAATTCTGCGATACTTCAAGATGAGAAAATGACACAGTCAGCAACTGATTCTTGCAGAGAGAAAGCAGATGAAATGGTAAGTATGCAGGATAAGAGGTGGTAGTGAAAAAGTAGGAATCAAATGGATTTAAGTAAAAAAGCAATCAAAGATTTGTTACCTGTATTAATTGTTTTAGGAACGGGGTCTATTTCCTCGTCTATAACGAAAGGTTCTGGTCTGGGAAATACTTGCACATCAGATGTTAAGTGGCCACACTTGAGAACAGCATGGAACGGTGTGTACGCCAGGTCTATCAGCTTCCTAGAACACCATCGGTTATTATTAAGGAAAGCGTAATACATACCAAATACAAACAGTTTGTCTAAGCACACTGACTTAGCTCCCAAAACTTAATTTTACAGTTAATTCAATAGTTCTAGCATTGGTAAATTAAGAAACAAAGCAGCGTATTGTCACATTGATGGCAAACTAATGGTATTTGTGGAAATTAGTATCTTCTAGCTAGCTGCTACACAACGATTCAAAGAAATATTAACCTTAATGAGGGAAGGTCAAGATGAAAATACAGTTAAACAAGATCATAAACTAAAATAAAAGGTTCCATTAGAACACCGCATATCATCAGATTTCTCACTATATTTGTTTGCCTGTAGAGATGCTAACTGGAAACCTTCACAGAGGCATGTTACCTACAAGTCTACTAACCCAAACATCGACTGGACGTTCTTCAGGCAAAGCGGTCCATCGATGGTGAAAATTTGCCCTTCCCCATTGTTTAAATCTATGAGCCGCTCCAGGCAGTCTAAGGAATCCGTGCTCTGAAGCTGTGAAAAATACAGTGAAATGATTTTTTTCATTTTCTTTTTACTCTTTATTATTCAGTGTGCTTTCAGATAAGATACAGCCAAAAAGCATCTGAATGGATACTACGATGATTTTCTGTTCTCTCACTCCTTTCTGAATAAACCAACACTCTCAGTCTCCCAGGAAATGTACTCCTTATGCTGCACTTACATTGGAGCAGCTGCTTAGTAGCAAATAATCATAGAATATCTTGAGTAGAAAGGGGCTCATAAGGATCAGCGAGTCCATCTCCCTGTATATTGCTTTATCCTGTTAGGTTCTGCTTTGAAAGCAGGTTCAAGCAATCAAAAATCCCATTTTACTGGTACTGTAAAGCTTCCAGCTCTTTCAGAATAATGTCATTTTTAGGAGGGAAAATAGATGCCTGTGAAAGCACCTTAAACTTATCAGTAACAGAAGATTTGTCTTACACTTTTTCCCAGTTATTCTGACATGTAAACAACGCTTCAATCCACCAGCTTAATCAAGAGGATCACCCTTGATAGAGCCCTTGAAGCTGAAATATCTATTGCGTGCCTAAGTTAAAAAGTCCTTCTGTGATGGACAGAAGAATATAGGTGCCAAGTAAAAAGCAATGCTATTAATAAAACCTAATCTAAGGAATTTTAGTCTACACAGCCTTCTGAAAGATTTTTTATTCAACAGAATTTTAACTACTGTGAAGATTTTTAAAGCTGGGACTGAGTTTTATGAAGAAGAGAAAGAAAACTGTCACCTTTCCTTCGGAACTACGGGAAGTTGGTTTGAACAATGGCTTGGAGACTTTAGAATTTTGCTTGCTTCCATTTCCTCATAAATTTCGAAGAGTTGGGAAACTTTGCAGCAGAAGTCATTTATCCAAAAATTTAATTGTAGATTAAGCCCCCAAACCATCCAATGTAATTAATGCAGCAGAGGTAATAATATACACAGAGAAATAAAACCTGTGTGATACTCCCCAGGGAGAAATGGATATGATTTATAAAGATTATAATAACGAAGCAAAACTGGCAAGTCAACTAAAGTTTAAAACTGAGCAAGTCAACTAAGGTTTTTAACTAAGCAAGTCAAGTTTAAAACTAAGCATAAGAACTTCGAAGTATGTTTTGGGGCTGGCCTGATCCTTAGTTCCAAGACCAGGAATTATCTAGCGCAATAAAGAAGAAGTCACACATTAAAGACATCACCTCTTCAAGGTTGGCCATGCACATGACATACAGCTTGGATGGGAAGGGGAAAGGCAGCGGGAACCGGTTGCTTTCACTTCGCTGGTTGTGAGTGGCCAGCGAGTGCCGGAGGGAGCCTCTGCCGATGCCCAGGCAGCCATCGGTGACAAGAACAACCTTGAATGAAAGAGGAGAGATGAGCAGTTCCAAGACAAGGCAGGCTCCTGTCTGCAGAGAACAACAAGACAGCAACACATCTCGGCGGTCTCCCTAGCAGCATCACTTCTCCACTGAAAATCCCTGCTCATGGAGGGACTTCCTCTGCTGGGCTGCGGAAAGAATCGTAGAATCACAGACTGGCCGAGGCTGGAAGGGACCTCAGAGATCATTTTAATCCAACCTTCCTGTCATGGGCAGGGACACCACCTCTCGACTAGATCAGGCAATACATGGGGACCGAACGGGAATCGAACCCGCGACCTCGGTGTTATCAGGACCATGCTCAACTGACTGAGCTAACTAAAATTTCCAGGAACAGGTACATATGTGAGAAAGATTTAACTATTGCAATTTTAAACTCTGTGCAATGGTAAAGATACACATTTTGTTGTAATTAGGCAGTTGCAGCGAAATTTAAATTTCATAGCCAGAACCAGACCATGCTGTGGCCAGCAGTGCAGCCATTTTTAAGCATACGCTGGAAGAGTGGTGACTGTACAGCCAAAAAAGCAGCCTCTTGCTGATGGACTCAAGAACTTCAGGTTAATTTTCGGATGGAAGATAAAGCCCACTTCTTCTGAAAAATCTGGAGGGTGACCCAATTCCCTCTACAAGCCACAGAAGCCATACAAAAGGTAGTATTAACTACCCTCTTTGCAAACAAATGCAGCTGCACGACAGGCAGCAGAAGTATAAAAGCAAAAGTACGCATTTTTCCATTCAGTTGCACGTCCAGTGTTACACCTTGTAGAAACCCGCACTAATAGGTTACACTGAATAATGCAACTATTTACACTCCGCTGAGACTCATTTCCAGAGCAGTAACACTGCACAGCAACAGTAGGCATTGGTTTTGGCTGAGAGGTGAGGAAAATCAAATTGAAACTCAGTGTGTATCTGCTACATCCAGATTTGTATTTGCTCTTCATCCTCGAGCTCCCTCTTTTGCAGTCTCTTCAGTTACCACCTGAACTGCTGCTCACCAGTAACATTTTTTTGCAATTACAAGAGAGAACAGTACATTCTGTGCTACTTGAAGTTCCAGTAAAACGAGCCATGACACAAATGAGAGACTAAATTGTTGCGGTCCAATCTATGCTTGGTTTTTACACCTTTCTAGTTCTTTGCTTTGAATGTCTGCTTCTCCAAGGTGCCTTTTATCCTTGTCAGGTTATGAAGCCTTGCTTAACCAACAACCCTCTGTCCTTTCCCTCCTTAAGCAATGTTGCTTAAGACATCTCGCCAGCTCACTGGGCTGCAAAATTATGGAACTTAAATCCTAACCCAAAGGCCAAGAGGCTTGTAAGCATCTCAGAAAAATGAGTGCTAAAAGCAGACTTTGCTGTAAGAGGCAAATTCAGAAGGCTGAGAGCTGCAAGGGCCAGTGGAGTGTGTGAGCAGACACATGCCCAACGACTCATTAGGGCAAGGAGACGGATCAAAACACACTGGCAACAGTCCCACACTGTTACTTGAGACCTGGAGCTGTTACACGGCCTGGAAACCATCAGGTACTGGAAAAGAAGGGTTACTGGTTGTGCGACTACACTGTTTCCAAACCAACTGAGGCTCCTGAGGCAGAAGATTGCACCCAGATCAAACAGTGAGACAGCAAAACAGTACTCTTGGGGCCAGATTTTATAAACTGCTCCTCTACAGTAACACAGTGGACAGGAAGCAGTGCATTTTCTTGCTACTGAGTATTTTAATAAAGACCACGTCCTGTTTATATTCCAAATATATCCAAAACATGAATTCTTTGTCTTCCTGTGGCACCAGCACGCCTGCGAGTATTCAAAGTTTCAAATTACACTTCCATTTCCATTCCCAACTTACAGAGAGCAGACACTCAGTATACACTTGATCCTAAGAACAGAGAAATCAGTCTTACCTGGCAAGGGATTGCTGCACCCCATTCCTGAATTGCAAACCCCCAGCAGCGCTGACTCTAAACAGGTTTTGTCATAATCATCCATGTTACTCAGGGCTTCCTGCAAAGACAAACACCATTGTCACTGCCCGTTCAATATCACCACCAGGCAACACAGAAATTTATTCAGGGTTCTGCGGTAAGTGGGTATGTTTGCTTTGCATTGTAACCCAACTGCACTGTTCCACGGTGCAAAGTGCTATCTTTTTATATATGACCTGCAAAGTTTAAATTAAAAAAGAAAGATATATGAAATAATGAATGATATCACAAAACAACAACGAAAGCTGACTTCGAAGGAATTATAATACGATAAACACAGCTCTTTAGGAGGAAAAAACAACCTTTCCCTGTCTCAAAGAAACACTAAAGTAAAAATCTGAAGCAACGTCCAACATGAAACATTTAACTTAGAAAAGCCTCCCAGGCAACAGAGTATCTTAGAACTTTTTAGAGATTCAGAAAGCAGACCATGAGGAGCTTGTCTCACAAAAACTTTTTAGCAGAAAGATGAACAGAAACCAAAACTCATCTGCAGCCTGTTTCTATTACCATAAATCAGCTCTCCTCCTTAAAATGAAAACTTCACTCTTAACACGGCATCACAAGAAGGGTGCACCTGTGAAACTAATGTGCTAGGGGAGCTTGGCTGGATTCTTGCCCTTCAGAAATTCCTCACATGAACTCATAGGGAGATGAAAATAAATCGAAAAGAATGCACCAGCATTCATTTGCTAAGATGCAAACATAATAGACAGTATCTTTTAAAATCTGTATGTCCCACAACGGACAAACCTGAAACATGGTGTCCTGTGACAACATGTCATTTTGTCTTCATATTATATATGATCACCAGATACATATGTACAATTTTTACTGGATTCACAGACTTTCAGTGCCTTACTGCACTCCTGTAAAACCGCTCGCTTGGACTTTCCCCTTTCCATTTTCTCCCAACTTCCCATCACACCTGTCAGGCCTACAGCCACTTATTCTCTCTCAGCCTGCTTCAGCTGCTTCATATTCTTACAAGCACCTTCTCTCTAAAAAATAGTTTGACTCAAACCCTTTCTAAACAGTCCTGTCAGCTGTATCACTTATCAAGAGCAAATCAACAATTACAGAGGAAAACACAAACATCATGGAAACACTTTGAGGGCTTCATCAGGCAGCCCTTTCCTTCATCCCTACTTTTAACTTAACCAGCCACACCCCAGAGCACCTGGCAAAGCTACAATTTGAGAAGTAGCAAAATGTTTCGAATGCGGTCATTTCACCTTAAAATAAGGATAAAACACCCAACTCAAGATGCTGTGCAGAGGATGACAGGAAATCAATCACAGGATGACAGGAAATCACAGGATGATAGGAAATCAACTTCGCCATGTTTTGGACACACGCTTGGCATTTCATTTGTTTGAGTTTTTGTTAATGTTGACCTTAAGAAGAAATTCTTCAGTACGAGGGCAGCAAGACTTTGGGATAAATTGCCCAGAGATGTTGTGGCTGCCCCCTCCCTGGAGGTGTTCAGGGCTAAGCTGGATGGAGCCTTGAGTATCATGATATAGTTGAGAGGCGTCCCTGCCCATGACAAGGAGGTCGGACTAGATGATCTCTAAGGTCCCTTCCAGCCTGTGCCATTCTAGGATTCTAGGATTTTGCGTTTCACACATCCTACCTGCAGCGTGTTGTAATCTCTCGTAAAGGGCACCATGAGCTCCCAGAGCGACGAAAACACCACCAAAGCTGTGAACTCCAACTTGTAGTTGGTCGCCATGTGCTCGAACAGCATGGTGAGGCCGTGGACAGCCAGGTGTTTGCGCTGGTACTCCTCGGAGCCCTCCACCGACACCGGCCGGGTCATGGAGAGCGACACGTCCATCACCACCACCGTCGGCATGGTGAGCTGCTCTTCCCTGCTACCGTCGCGGAGAACGGCGCTGCCCTGCACGGAGAGAAAAAGCCCACCCAGGATTATTACTGAAGCTGCTGTTAGAAAGCGACACGCCTTGCTCCCTCACACCGACCCCACTGGGCAGCGGAGGAAGCAGCAATTAACCTTTTTGCCCCCCGAAAAGCAGGATTCAGCACTAATTAAGTCAACAGATCTTCTCCTGAACCTCACAGGGCTGTAAAGGCCTGGAAAAAGCTGCGCCTCGATGGGGGAAAGGGAGCAGCCGCGGCGCTCTCTGAGGAGAGGCCCGGGCACTCCCAGCCCGCTCTCCCGAGCCTTTCC